GGTGCCAGCCAAGTCGCTACGGGACAGCCCCGGAGGCGGTCGGGGACTCGGGAGAGCCGGGGGGACGCCAGCAGCTTGCTGACGGCCCGGCCCGGCCGCCCAGCCCACCTCCCTGTCGGCAAGAGGCAGCAGAGCAGAGGGAGGCACGTTGGTGTCATCTTAAACTGTGCAACAGATGTGCCACCAGCGCTGCTGGCCCTGCGCAAACCTCCAGAGGCAGATAGTCAGGTGCCTGGGCCCTTCCTGTATCCAGCAAACCGAGGGAAACCGCGGTTCCCTTGAGGCCAGTGGGTTTCGTCACATGAGTGAGGGTTCCCAGAGCCTGCAAGGAGTTTGGGACTTCCTGAGACGAAACCCTGGGCTGGTGCAGGGCACACGATGAAAAGGAAGAAATTAATTAAAAAGGAAGAAATTAATTAAATGCAGTTTGCAAGGGGATATCAAGGCCCCGGTACCACGGCACTGCAGGAGTGGGCATTGCTGTGACGTTCACTTGCAGGCACAACCCGGACCAGCCCTGCCAGGCGAGGGGGGTCCCAGCATAACCAGCACTGTCCCGAGACAACGGGGCCGGAGGAAGCTGCACAGCCACACGGCAGTGCGTGGCTGGCACCGAGGCGTGTTGGTTGCAGGTTTCAAATACAGCCGGGGTGGAAGAGGCTGGGCCAAGCCTCTGGGCCAGGCTGTCAAGTAGAGTTATGTCAGTCAAATGTAGGAGAGAAAAAGATGGCCCTATCACACCCAGTCCTAGCAAAAACTCTGATGTAATTACTGGCCCAGCTCTGTCGGCACAATCATTTTTGGTGTTCGTATCTTGGGTCATCACGGGAAATGGCTTCACTTTTCCAGAAAATAAATTCTCTTGCTGGTATCAACAGCTCCCTGAGTACCCTCTTGCCTCCTGTTGCAGCATGTATCCTAAGGAGATGGGCACAGGCTGCCGACGGGGAAGTGAGGCTGCACTAGCGCAGGGCCCCTGGTAGGTGACCTGTGTTGACTAGCCTCAGGACAGGGGAAGACACACACACAGAGTCCAGCTCTGCCCCGTCCCATGGCCAGAGTGACCCCTTGACCAGCCCGACCTCAGCTTCTCATGACTCGATGCTCTGGAGACATGGCCAGCCAGCACTGGTCTCATGCTCAGCAAGCGCAGCTTGGCCTCACAAACCGTGTCCCACCAGCTGGGAAACATTCCTGCACCCAAACCTGCTGGGCAAACTCAAGCCACCCAGTGGGCCCACCTCTTGCTATTTCGTTCACATTCCTGTGCCTATTACTAAATATTAACTCATTAGGTCTAAAGAGGGAGGTAAATCCCACAGCACCTGCAAACTGGTCACGAGCAAGCAAGTGCTGTTTGTGTCAGGGCTGGAGTGTGAGTCAACGGCAGAGTTGGGGACACATCTCAAACCCCAGTGCTCTGGTCCAGTTCCTCGATAACGCTGCATCCTTCTTCGTTGCAGGCTTGGAAGATGGCAACGCTCATGGTAATTGCCTATGTGGTAGGCGACTAAAGACAAAGAGAAGGAAAGAAGAGCGTGCCAACAACAGGGGCAGAAACAACTCCTTCAATTTTCCTGTTAGTAACCTTTGCTGCAGATACTCTTCTGCAGAGTTCAGTGGGAAACTGAGCTTTTCCTTGATGCTTGGGCTGAATCCCTCTTTGGTTCCTTTTCAAATAGCCCAGGCATTGGCAATCAGCACCTTACGTCCTCCAAAGGGGCACCTGGGACACAGGGTGGGAGGAGGCAGCAGACAAGAAGGTGTTGCGCTCCAAGAGCAGCTCCTTGGATGTTAGCAGACCCGAGGATATCTCATCCCCCAGCAGCGTTACTCTAGGTGCTACAAGGTAGGCCAGCACGGCCTCTGACCGCAGTACACACCTCCTCTTGCTCCCTGCCCCAAGGACGAGATGGCTGCCCTCATTGCTGAAAACTTCCGCTTCCTCTCCCTGTTCTTCAAGAGCAAAGACGTGATGATTTTCAATGGCCTGGTGGCCCTGGGTACAGTGGGCAGTGAGGAGCTTTTCTCGGTTGTGGCCTTCCACTGCCCCTGCTCCCCAGCCCACAATTACATCTATGGCCTGGCCGCCATCGGTGTCCCGGCCCTGGTGCTCTTCCTCATCGGCGTCATCTGGAACAACCACACCTGGAACGTGGTGGCCGAGTGCCACAAGCGAGGCACGAAGAACTTCTCTGTCGCGGCCACCTTCCTCCTCTTTGGTTCCATCATGGGCCGGGCCGCTGTGGCACCCGTCACCTGGTCAGTCATCTCGCTGCTCCGTGGGGAGGCCTACATCTGCGCCCTCAGCGAGTTCGTCAAGCCCACCTCCCTGGATAAGTTTCCGGCCGAGTACGGGGCCGAGGCCCTGGCCAGGTTCCCCTGTAAAGATATCCCAGCGAACTTGACCAAGTTTAGGGACGAAGTGACCAGGAGGCTGAGATACGAGTCCCAGGTAGGTACGCCAGGGTGAAGGCTGTAGGTGGCGCTGACCACTGGCAGAGGCTTGTTAGCAGCCGTTGAGGTCCCATTCGTGGCTCAAGGGGGTCGGTTTGCAGCTGTGGTGAAAGCACAGAGACGAGAGGACTGGCAGTCATGAGGTTCTCGCTGCCCAGGAGATGAGGCTGTGTTACAGCCTTTCACATCCCCCCAAGCAGGGCTGATGGACAGGGGAGGACGCCTGGGGTTTACCCCACAGCCTTGCTGTGTCCTGGGCAGCCCCAGTGTCTGATCACCCTCCTCTCTCCAAAGCAGCTAATAATTCCCATTGCTGGTGAAGGCACAAAACCAGTGTGCCAGCAGACCCCCGTGGGGCCCCCCAAGGTGGGAAGGGGTGGGGAAGAGGAAGGCTGCCTCGCCATGTCCTAATGCAGCCTCTCTCTCTCAGCTCTTCGGCTGGCTGCTCATCGGGATAGTTGCAGTCCTGGTTTTCCTTACCAAGTGCCTGAAGCACTGCTGCTCCCCACTGAGCTACCGGCAGGGGGCCCGACGCACGGCTGAGATCCACTCTAGGGTCCTGGCGGCCAAGAACGTGAAGCACTTCTTTGGCTTCGTGGCCCTGGACAAGGAGGAGAAGGAGCTGGTGCAGGAGTTCCCCGTGGAGGGTGTCCAGCCGAGCACCCAGTGGAACGCCATCACCGGAGTCTACATCTACCGGGAAAACAAGGGCTTCCCTCTCTACAGCCGGCTCCATAAATGGGCCAAAGGGGTGGAAGGCAATGGGCCAAGCCCTGAAGGCCACGAAATGCTCTTTCTGGCTTCCTAAGGCAGGCAGGTACTCGGACCAGTTCCCTAGACCACCTGATTGGCCTATCAGTATTGGTGTGTGGCTGACTGTTTCACTGGGAATATTCCTCTTAGCAGGATTATTTCTCTCTGCAGGTGAAAAGGGATCAACAGCCTCAGGGTGCAGACTGATAAGCAATTCACTAAGCCGGGGAACCCCTCCCTCGGAGACAACTGTCTTGCTGCTTCTCTCAGAGAGATGATTGGAGCAAAGAGCAGATGCGCACCTTATCTCCAGGCTGCTGGTGCGCCCTGCTGTCTCCTGCACCAGCAGAAACTTCGTGGAAGTAAACGGTGGGCACGATTCGTTTCTAATTATGACTGCTGCAAGTCTAACTTGTCTCCTCCACCGAGGGGGTGGTACCAGCTCATCACACGCACGTGCTTGTTTTACTGACGCCAGTATCTTGTCGCACAGTTTTGCGGTGCCTGTTATGCACAGGTCCCAGAGCGCTTTACAGACTGCACAGTGCAGGGAGAGAAGGAGGCAGCGGATAAATTCCTGTGGCAACTGGGATGCAATTGCATCTGGGAAGGAAGGGGTCAGTAACACACCAGCACACCGAATATCTGAAAGACAAAGGCAGGAGGAACCACTGAAATTCCCAGTATTTAGAGAGAGACTCCGTAATTACCGAGTTGGAATTTGGGTGGGACACCAAACTCCCTTTGTCCTTACTGGAAGTGCCTTGGAATTTTAAATGAGCCCAGTCACAACCAAGAGCTTATAAACTGTTCATGAACAGCATCATCAGCCAAATAGCTCTCATCCAGGCTAGCTGCTGGACGCTCAGAGGGAACAGTACGTGGAGTGAATCACACCAGTTGTCTGTAGCTCACTGAATTTCTTCTCCAACCATTTACGAGATCAGGTTGCGTGTTGTAGCAAGATCGCAACCAGAACCAGTTATATACATGTAACTATACCATATGAGCATGGTTAGTTGGCTATACAAAGTAAGCATCTTTCAGAGAACGAGACCAGAAACTTGCTAGCCAAAAGACCACTTTACCCTCTCTGCCGCCGAGACTGCAACCCTGCAGTGACAAGAATCAGTGGGAACGGGATGCAGAGAGCAGCCCTCCACACCACTGAACTTTCTTAAACTCCTTCCATTGCCTTAAGTGGTCCCTGCAGCAGACAGTCTGTTTTAGGGTCTCAGCTGTACTCTGAAAGTGAGGCCACATAGGTGTAAAATTACTGCTCTCACTGTGCTGAGGCTTCAAGCCTGTTCTTGTGGCACTGCAGTCTCCTGCTCCTAAGGGTCAGCCCTGTATTGCCAATACCATTTTAAGAGTTGGCAGAACAATGGAGTTTGGTTTTCCTATTTGTAGTGTTTCTTTATAGATAAAGCTTCCTTTAGTTTTATACTGTGCCTTTTACTGAAAAGCCTTAAATTGTTTAAAAAGCATGACTCAACTCCACTGAACTGAGACAGGCTTAAATTCAAAGAGATTTGAAATAAATTATTAAATGAGAATCCTTTTTCATTGCCTTTCAGGGTTTTTTTCGGGGGGGGGGAGGGGCTCAGAAGGCATATTTTAATGAACACAAGGACTAGGAATTTACCTTTTCTTTCTGTTAAACATTCAGATCCTCTCTTATTCAGATGACTTCTGGACCTGAAGTTTTAAAGCATCGCCACACATTACAAGTTAGTAAACACGGCTTTTTAGTCATTCTTGCAATGAGAAGTACAGATTTTATGATAAGTCAAGGTACATATTTGCAGCAAAGGAAGGGAAATATATTTATAAACCTGTTTACAAATATGTCTGCTTGAAAGAAAGATTTGGAGGGTACTCCCTCTCTGTAGAAAGGCGACTACACTGCTTAACGGGCAAGAAATCCTTGGACTCCTGTTGGGCTTCTTCACAGATTTGCCTTGCATTTGTGGGGAAGCCTGGCTCCCAGCAACACCAGGCACTCGTCGTTCTCCAGCGAGGGCAGCCCAAGGGAGAAAGTACCAAAGCAGGAAAAGGAGTCAGAGCAAGGGCTACAGAGGTGTGGGAAAGGCTGGATGCAAAGAGGAAAACAAGGAAGGGGGGGGGGGGGGAGAAAGGAAGGAGTTTAGATTTGATTAACTTCTGCAAAAATACTGAAAGCAGGATGTTAAGTCACATAGCTTTTAAGCTCACTGTAAGCAAGTAGTCTAGGCCTCTCACTGAAGCACCAAGAGGGAAGTTCAGCTGCCTGTCTTCCTGGCACGTTGTGAACTCGCACGCTCTCCGCTCAGCCTATGGAGGCTGAAAACAGCCCCAGCATAGAGCAGTCAGCAGCTTGCTCATTAGGGCACTTTAGGGCACTTTTCCCAACAGCAAGAAGGGTTTAAACCAGGCTCCTCCAGCAGAGAGAATTACACACAGGTCTTTTCATTTGCCCTGCTGGCTATCGTAGAGACTATAATAACCCCCGTTGCTGAAAAGAAATAACACCTCAAAGGGACGTTGGTTGCTATTGCAATACTTAAGTATTGCATTCTGCAATTTGTTTAAAAAAAAAAAAAAAGCCACCATCTCTCCAGCTATGTTTTAAAAGAAAGCAGCAGCTGCTACTGGATGTTGCAGGCAGCCTCCTCCCCTAGGAGAGCATTAGGCAAACTTTGAGAATATGTACAGTACCCAGCCCTCCCTTGGGGTAAGCAGTGAAATGACTTGTTTCTGGATCCCAGCGGATGTGGGAGTGAATCAAATTCTGAATCATTCAGCCCTACTGACACTGGCTATCCACAGAGGCAGAGCAGCTGGGTCCATGGGAGCTCTGGTTTGGAGGTCCCTACAGTAAGACTTCAAATTTGATATTTTGAAGCGGGGCACCCACAACCTAGATTCCTCACTGGATAATCACATGTGTTTGTATACGCAACTTTCCCCCTCCCCTTCAGTTCCTCATCTGTAAAAGAGAGGATCACATCCACGCTGTACCACAGTGTTACAAGAATAAGGATCATAAAGCACTGACACCAGTGATAAAGCCTACATAAATGCCCAAGATGCTTAGCTATTCCCAAGTAGAAGGCTAGATTGGGATCAGTTATTTTTCAGCACAGGAAGAAAAATTTTCTTCTCTGACCTCATTGATCTCTCTCAACAGACAACCGCTACTGAAAATCACTATTTTTTCTCATCCATCACTAGCAGTTTGTTATCAGAGAGAGCTGAGATCATGGAATCCATCATAATTGGATGCTGTGGGCTTTAAAGGCATGTGCCCTTGTGGCTAAAAGGCCTCCAGGGCTGCATTAGGAAGAGCACTGCCAGCAGGTTGATCCTTCTCCTCTAATTCAGCACAGCTGAAGCCACACTTGGACTGCTGGACTCCCCAGTACAAGACAGACATGGACATACTGGGTCAGGTCCAGCAAAGGGCCACACAGACGATTAAAGGATTGGAGCATCTGACACAAAGAGAAGGACTGTTTAGCCTCAAAAAAAGAAGGCTCAGGGGGATACTATCAACGTGTATACACTCTCCCATTGGGTATTTAAAGACAACAGAGCCAGGCTCTTTTCTGTGGTGTCCAGCGAAAGGACAAGAAGCAATGGGCACAAACCGAAATACAGTAAGTTCTGTTTAAACATAAGAAAAAGCTTTAAGGGTGACTGAACACTGGAACAGGTAACCCAAAGAGGCTATGGCATCTCCATCCCTGGAGATATTCAAAACCCAACAGGACATGGTTCTGGGCAACCTGCTCTCATTGACCCCGCTTTGAGCCGGGGGATTGGACTAGATCTCCAGAGGTACCTTCCAGCCTCAACCATTCTCTGATTCGGTATTGTTCTGCCAACTGCTGGCAGCACAAAGGCACTCGAGACAAATCTTTTGAAGAGTTAATTTAGGCAAAAGGCAAGAATCTTCTCTGCCATTTGACACAGAGAAATTAATTTACAGGGTATCATCGTACTTAAAAATAGGAGGTCACAACTGCATCATTTCCATAGGAAAGCAGAACAGGTAGGGCTGATTGCTGGAACCGATTATAAAATAGTCTATATTTAAATAACTGGCTTCGAAGTCATCAACAGACTAGGCTAATTTTTAACAGCTAGACAAAGCTGCAAGCATTTATCGGATCTTTTCTTTAGACGATTTGTTGTTCCAGTTTGGTTTAGTCCTACAACGATACTCTCAGGAAACTCGCTGTCCATGGACACCCACAGTTGAACTCCACACCTCTCAGTTCCCACACCACATGGAGAACTGAGTCTCTCTGGTTCTACTTGCTCAGTATTTAGCTCTCAGCAAGGGAACTCTTGGCTTCCACGTACTCTAGTGCTGCTGTTTTAACAGCCAGAACAGTTTCTGCTGTACCATATCTCTTCTCATAATCCAGGTAGCGTTTAAAGAAGAACTTCATCCTCTTGGGTGCCAAGCTGAGGTGTATGACCCTCTCAAAGATGTCCCTGCAAGAAACCAAAGGCCATTCAGATCACTGTGTTGGTGACAGTGCTCAACACAAGCTCTACATCCTGCCTCTGAATAAAGAACAAACTCAGGAGAGACATTCAATCTGCTGCAAAGCGCTGGTGCTTGAAGCAAGAGATTCCTAAGAACTGGCCAATACCTTGAAGCAGACGGCTTCTATCTTGCAGATCTAGGGCTATCTAGGGCTTGCAGAGCTCAAAGGTTGCTGGTCAACTTGGGCTAAGACCCAGCCACTTTATTTGACTCTCTGTTCATGAAGGGCCAAAGCTAGATCCCCAGTGTGGGAAGCCGGAGTTCCTTTTGTCAACTCTCAGCAAAGAGACAGTGACCAATCTGTCCATTTTTATGTCAGGAGATATGCCAGAAAGCAATGCTTAATTTCGCTCCTAAGACAGGACAGGGCAACGTCGTCTCTCCATAGGGACAGCTCAGCCTTGGAGATCAGTTTGCTCAGAGACTACCTGTGCAGACTTAGTAAGAGCAGAGTTAAACAAACAGCATGACAAGCAGCTATGACAGCATTGCAGTTGTCAAGGCACCTGACCTTCAGAGCAGCTTGGCACAACCACATTACGGATTCTGACAAACCCAGGAGAGACCATCACCAAGCTAGCATCCCCACTAAGAGTGCAGGATTGACCTCACTGATGCCCTCAGTGCAGGTCACCTTGTTTTTGTCATGCAGGTCACCCTTTACAGATCAGCCCCACTCTGCCCTGCAGATCTCCTTGGAGTCTCCTCAGTGCTGGCAAGGATAAGCCTTTCCACACACCCCAGTATTCCTTCTCCAGGTGACACAAATTCTCCTTTGCTCTGGGAGGCCCTTGAAAGCCTTATGCTGCAGGGTATTTGCTCTTTTCAAGTGTTGCTCCAAGTGCCGGACTTGGCCCTCCCACTCGCTGTGGCAGGACTCACCGTACTTCCTTCTGGCTGCCATGTTTGATCATGATGTCCATGTAGATGGACCAGATGTCCGTACGCTTGGGATAGCTGGTGAGGGTGCTCTCAAACAGGGCCTTAGCATGTTCTGGGTCCCCAAAGCGGAACTCGAGCTGTGCAAACTTTGAAATGACATCCACATCTAGAACAAGTAACGACACATTAAGGTATCATAGCAGCACTCTTCCCTATGAAAAAATACAGGTGAGCAGCAATTACACAGAACAGAGGCAGGCACAGGAAGAGCACCATCTCTACCCAGAGACAAAAGACAAAAGACCCTGCTAACTGTTAAGAGGTTTCGGACCAAAGTGGGATTGGGGGGTGGGGAGGTGGGGTAGGTGTCATGGTTCACTTCCCACCTCAGCTCTCTGCAGGAGAGAGAAGAAGTTTATTCTTACAATCAAACGGCACCTTGAAGGGACCAGACCCAGCCCCACAAACCTGGAACCAGAACAACTGAACTTTTATAGAGGGCCTGAAGACCCAATCATCCTCACTTTGGGCGCTTTGCTTTTGCCCGTCACAGCAAATTTTAGTGCAGGAGAGTTTAGCATTGATACCAGGCTGAAATTTCCCCTCCCCTTACAGACAAGGGCAGTAGGTTCAGCTGGTTGCAGTTTTCCTTTCCTACAAACGCTGTCACAGAAAGACAGAGATATCAGAGAGCAGCCAATTTACCAGACCTGTCAACAGATAGACTGCATGACGGATGAGGAGGAGCGTGCTTACGTTCTTTAGCGGGCAAAGCCTTGAGAGCACGCTCCAGAAGTCTGTGTGTAGCCTCAGTTTGGCCTTGTTTCAGGAGGAAGGAGGCATACTTCAGCCACACAGATTTCTCCTGACGGAAACGCTTCAGCATTGTGTGGTACAGCTCTTCGGCTTGCTGGAATGGCAGAGAAGGAGGCCGGATTAGATCACACACATTCATGACAAAGCCTTGTAGCTCTAAGACATCCTTTGTCTCGCCTAAATATCCTCAAACGTTTGTGAGAGAAAAAAGTATCAGCAATTCCTTGCCTGCTGCCCAACATAACTCTTAGTCCCAGTTAGGGATAGGTTAGATCTAATGTCTGACAGCTGGCAGCTTACAAAGCCAGGATTGG